TCTTCAACCACCTGTGTCATTTTCGCTCTATATTACAATTGGAACAACTGCTACAAAGGCATAAATAACCAAAATACAGCTAATAAATACAAGTTAAAGTTTAGAAAGTTAAAAATAGTTACAGATGAATATGATAGTATCAATGAATTAAAATTGTAAAAATTGAAAGTTAAAAGGAGATAAGTTAACAAAGACAATTAAAATAAGGCTACTGATTTTAAGAACAAAAGGATACTATACGTTAAAAAAAAAATAATAATATTGATAGAAGAGAAGTTAAAGATTACAGTTTAAATATTAATAAGTAAAAAAGATAAGTTATCAAAGACATTAAAATAAAAGGTTGATGATTTTAAGAATATAATTCAAAAATACGATTTAAGAAATAAAATTAATATTAAAAGAAGAAAAGTCAAAAGGTAAAATTTAAATATTAAAAATTAGAAGAAGAAAAATTGAAAAACCAATACAATAAAAAGAAGAAAATGAACATGTATATTTAAAATTTGAAGAGGGGCCTACAAACACAAAAACTTAATAGGTATATTTACAACTACATGATGTGATTAAATTTTGTGAAATATTTTGATTTCTTGAGGAACAATATTAAGTTTTTAATAGCATTTTGGAGTGATTCTTCAAGGCTACTTCTGAAAAGATGTTGATCCCTAAGAGATTGGAATGCATAACATTCGGTTAGAATATGGTTCACTGTGAGAGGTACCCCGCAGGAAATACATTGAGTACTAGAGTATTTCCTCATTAAATATTCGTGGGTAAGCCTAGTATGTCCAATCCTGATATACCGCACGATATAAGTGAAAACGGCAACAAAGCGAGATTAATAGTATAAAATATTTTTTTTTTTAATATTGAAATTTATAACTGTATAAATGATAAATACATCAAGTAAATTTGAAACAAGTAACATAAAATGTACAACATAAAGAGAAACTACCCATTGGTAGCACTCCAATTATATTTCTATATTAGAAGTTCCCGAGGCCATCTTCTTTTCAGAAGCCTCGGAGGGTTATCAGGCATAGCAGAGGAGGCAAGGTTGAGGCAAACAAGAGGGTTCGGATGGTTCAGAAGTTTACTATGGAAGAATAGGTATCTGGATTGAGCTAAATCGGAAACGTATGGTACATTAAGGCCGTTATGGATGATTATATTTGTGACAAAGTAGAAAGCATTGAGGAGTTTACGAAGGTTTTGGATTGTAGAGATTGGATACGAGAGGAATTTCATGGTTTAGTAGAGCCCCAAAGCTCGATCCCGTAAGTCCAAATAGGCCTTGTTACAGTAATATATATGAGTCTTTTGTAAATAGTTGGAAGTTTAGAGCGTTTGTCTAGTAAGTGCTGCAGTAGTCGAAAACGTCGGGCGGTTTCTAGTCGTTTCAGTCTGGTATGTTCAGTTGGGGTTCAGTATAAAATATAAATTATAAATAATAGCTCATTAAAAATAAGATGTAATGCTGAATATTTCTCTCGCTTACAGTATATAGGTTCGATTTTTAGCATCTGAAATATTTTAATCCGTATGTTCAACTAACCTTATCATTTGGTTTTCGACAATATTTTTTTCCATTCCGCCTCTCTAACACAGCGTAGCGTTAAAATACATTTTTTTTTTTAAATTATAGTCTAATACAGAGAGGATGAAATGCTGAACAATTTCCACGCTAACAATATGCAGGCCCTATTTTTAGTGTCTGAGATATTTTAATCCATGTGTAAAAACATTTCAATTAGTCGACTTTACCCGAGCGTTACCACTTCGGAAATCTGATCAATTCAATTCACAAAAATCAGAAGTTTTCACTTTAATAATTTCTTAAATAGTTAATGTGAGATGTGCAGCCGTTGGTTTGTTTTTCCAAGATCTAATATTTTTACTGCTCCAAAGACAGTGAAACTTTCATGGGTAATTTATTTATTTATTCATGTACTTAATAGATTAAAGGCTTCGGGCCGATATATCTTTTTTAAATTTTAAAATCTTCTAATAATATCTCTAAGGATAAAATTCTAAAGAAAAAATAGCGTTTTGTTATTGCTTATTTATTTTAATTTAATTTTTTTAATCAATTCCTTATTTTTAGCGATTGAGTTACAATATTTAAAAATCTAATAAAAATATGTGGGTGATTTCACTAACAATGAGTTTTTCTAGTAAGAAGGTAAATATATTATAGGCTTCAAATAAAGAATAAGTAATAAAAGCGTTTATTAGCTTTTGAAAATTATGACAGGATACAAAGTACTTTAACACAAAAGAATACATGAAATTGATAACATGGGAAAAACTAAAAAATATACTAAATTAATTAAAATTTCATATAAAATAGATTAACTGGGTTGATTTATCCTTGTTGAAGAAAGTTAACCATATTCTCACTTCTATGGTAAAGATAAGTTATAGTTCAACTCCTGGCCATAAACTTTTATTTTAAACGTTTTAATTTCCAGTAAAGATTTCTGCTTTTATAACAAGTTTTTGCTTTAGTAAACACTATATATATCTAAACCTTGAAGCGAAAACCTTAAGTAAAGGGGCATTGTATTTAATATTATATGTATTAAGAGATCAAAAGCCCTTTGTACCTCTAACTTTATGAATCGCTTGTTCATTCTGTTTATACGCAAGAACAGAGAAGCATTGTTGCATTAGTGTATTAAATAAAATTAATATACACAATTTTGTATATTTAAATTATAATTTTGTATTACTATAGTTAACAGAACCATGTGGTGGTATCAATCTATTTTATGAGTACCTAAACAATTCGATTTATGGTATATTAAAACGGACGATGGTTTCATTGCAAATTTTATTGAAGATTTTATAGCCCATTCGTTGATAGCTCTCACAAATCTTGATATTACTTCTCTTATTGCTTTTCTACTCATAATTTATTGTTTGATATGTTGTACATATTGGTTTATTGTGGCAAATATTTTGAATTAATAACTCACAGTAAATAAAGTTATTATGCTCCAAATAACATACATGAAGTTGGTTATTTAAAAAAATTATTTATTTTGTCATGCGAATTCGGGCAAAATTTGGTTCGTTTCTCTTTCTTAAGCTTAATTAGTTGTAATTAATTAAGATATGATGATACCTGAATATTGGTAATTTAATTATTAAAAGCCAACTTATCAAGATTTTTTTTTTTCAGTCACCTATTATATAAATTTTTTAGTAGATAAGGAAAAGTTTTTATATCGTTCGATTCCGAGATTTTAACGGGAATAAAAGTTTTTTGATCCCCTGAGTCTGAATAACAAAGTCTCGTAAAATGGTCAGAGTTTGTGAGACCCCAAAAACGAAAAGTTGGTCAAACTCACATTACATATTTAAAGAAGGCGTATTCCTGGGAAGTAACAGAGCATTTTTGCAAAAAAAAAACACCTTATCAAAGTGCAATTTTATATCATTGATTTTACATAAAATTTCGCATTTTTATTATTTATTTATTTATTTTATCAAAACCACGCTCCTAACGATTTTGACAAAATTCCTCTTACCAATGAGCAATTCAATTGTCTTTTATATCAAGTAGATATAATCATCATTAGTATGATCTGATATAGCTTAAATGCCGAATCGGCAAATCGATCTCATCTTAAATAACTATCATTTTTTTATTTGAAGTAAAAATATATTTGATTATTACTACTGATAAAAATGGTTGAATAGAAACTTTGAAATGATTCAGAAATATTTCTAATAATATGAGAAAAATAAGAAGTATTTTAAAGTTGAAAACAAATTTTATAAGATGTCATAATATTAAAGTATAATATAAATGTTGGAAAGCTGAAGATTTAAGAAAATTAATACTCAACTTTGACATGACAATCTAAGTTTACATATTCTATAGACGTTTTTTTGTAGAAAAAATTATCTTATTGTGCTTAAAGTAGAGAAGAAGCATGGAGAAGAAGTACATGGTTACTGAAAATATTTCAAGTAATATTGGGGTGTGAAAAAATATTATGAAAAATTAAACACGTTTAGGTCCGATCAAAATTTAATTAATTGAATATTAACAAGGACTATATTATCATAGATTAGTTTCAACAAAAAATAAACGAGTAAAAGAATGCATCGTGATGCGCACACCGCATCAGACTTTTTAACTGTTATTATTGGGATAAATAAACTTATTTATCCTAATTCCATTTGATAATTTTATTATATTTCGATACATTGCGAACACTGCTGATTTAATTAAATAAATTTTCTATAATTTCTTTTTTTCATTCTGGCAACTACCACATAGCACGGCATTAAGTAATACAAGAATTACATACAAATAGATTCTATGCTTAAAAACAAAACAAAAAAAAACTACAGAAATAGTTAATAAATACAAAATGTTAGTATAGAGTAAATTAAATAGAATAGAATAATATAAATTACCTAATGGTAAATATTTACAAGAAGATACGTTATAAGATTATAATAATAATTAATAATAAGAAAGTAATATTACACAAATAATTAATAAATATGAAAACTGAAAAAGCTATTTGAAGGATTACAAAATTCGAAAAAAAAAACCCAGAAAAATAAGTTAAAAAAATATTTAATAGCAAAACAATAATGAAGGAAATAATCCTGGTTTAAATTTTTATTTTAATATTTAAAACCATATTTAACACAATAATGAAACTAACATATCAACGAATATATAATAGTAACAATTTTGTGATGATATATTTTTCATCACTTTCCGAACGTTTTTTTTTTTTTTCTTTTACCTCGCGCTCTTTCATTTCGAATCAATCCATCATGAAAGATAGCTCTCTTTTATGTCGGACTGAGGCTACTGCTGAAATATTTCTAAAAGGTCTGAATACGCCGCCATATATCAATAAACTAAATAACAGGATTTTTTAAAAATGCTTATAATTCCAAAATATTAAAACTCATAGGATCGTATAGATTGTATGTCTGAACTAATTAATAATTTCTATCTTCAGGCTCTAAAAACGTGCTGAGCTTAATTCTAACAGAATATTAACAGAATCGACAAATTGGAACAATGGTATGCAACGAAATAAATTATTTTCCGGTATATTTTAGATGTTTTGGATTTTTTTAACGCCATTTGAACTATTATTATAGGTAGAAACGCCATGGGATAATAGCTACAACATGCCAAATTACAAGAAGAAAATATATAGGAAGAAACAACATTACTAAACAGGGCAGACATTAAAATAATTACCACCAAGACCTCTTCAGTTACATAATTTATACACACTCCATCTGTTTCCACCTTCAGGAAATCGTTTCAAAAGCAGCAATAAAGAATAATTTAAAAATGAGTATTATTTCAGATATAAAAATTCTATTACTTTTATAATTTAAAAATATAACATTAAAATTACAAAAGCTTGTCGAATTATGAATTGAAAAAAATATCAAAATCAAAATACAATAAAAGAATTTTCAGAGAAAAGGAAATGTCAGAAAATATTTTTAAAATACCCAATACCATAAGACAATTTACCAAGTGGAATATAATTTGCTATGAGGTTTTTCTAAAGTACCTGATTCATGCTTTCATCGATTCATAATATTTATAAAATTAGTTTTATCTTATTGCCTACACCTTTCATTAATACTTCATAATTTCGATTATTTTTTTTTTTAAATACATATAAAACATATATATATATATATATATATATATATATATATATATATATTTAAACATATAAACATATATATATATATATATATATATATATATATAAAAATGTTTTATATGTATGTAATATATAAATATTTTCTGCCTCTTTATCATCTTTCAATTTTTTTCATCTCAGTTCTTGTGAGATCTTTTAAATATTTTTTTATTTTTGATTTATTTAATTTGTTGACTACATAATTTTCAACTAATTTATTAATCATCGAGACAGAATATTACAAAGCGATCCTGTACAACTACAATAAGAGTCTTGTGATTAGCAATGGATATAAAGATATCGTTAAAAACGTATAAAGCCATGTTTAACCGACCGGTTTTTCCCAACACAATGAATGTGTATCAAGATAGCTCTGGAGTCAGAATATTAAGTTGTTACACTTTTAAGATTTTTTAAAACTTGTATATATATATATATATATATATATATATATATATATATATATATATATATATATATATATACATATATAAATATATGTATATATATAAACAATCCAATCTATAAAGTCATGCAAGAAAACTGTTGGCTTGCCAATGTTTCGCCAATTTAGGCATCATCAGCGCAGAAAATCAAAATCAATCAAGAAAATATTAAATTAAAAATAAATTTGCTGCTGACATTTCGCCAAGCCATCTAAATATACATTTATGGAAAACAGGAGAGGAAGGTTATATAAAACAGCTGATTGGGAGGTATAATGGAAAAAAATATATTCATACTTAAAATATAATAATACAAACTGTGTTAATAATAATAAAAAAAAATTTAATAATAATCATAAAAAGAAGAATAAATTAATAAATCCAAACCTTTGCAAGTTAAGTGTTCGCTTGTATGTTAGAGACATGACTTTATAGTTTGGATAGTTCCATTAATTATGCCTCTTTTGGTGCTTTTCGCTTATTTTAGTAATATTATTTGTGGAGTAGCAGTGAGTTTTTGTGGGGTATGGATGCTTTATACGCCTTTGATTTTTTTTTTTTTTTGGTATTTATAATTTGTTCTTTTTTTATTTATTTATTCATTTGTTCTTTTATTATTTATTTATTAATTTTCAGTTTTTTTATTTATTTATTAATTTGTTCTTTTTTTATTTTTGTTTTGATTAACACAATTATTATATTTTAAGTATGAATATACATATATATATATTCAATATCTTCAATTGTATATATATATATATATATATATATATATATATATATATATATATATATATACAGAAATATACAAACATATATAATTTATTCCTACTAATCAGCTGTTTTATTAACTTCTCTCCTGTTTTCCTTCAGTATATATTCGGGTGGCTTTGTGAGATGTCAGTAGCAATTTTTTTTTTTTTGTAAATTTCTTTCATTCTGCATATGCAGAAAAAGAGACACATATATATGTGGGTCTTGCTTTTTCTGTCCTGATGATTCCTGAACACTTTTGCAAATAAATTGTTACCTTGTATGTTAGAAATTCATACATTTTGGGATTGTCACATTTAAATGTGGACAGTATCCTATATATAAGTTATCAAAATTCTTCTACATTTTTCGCAATTTTTTTCTATCTGCTTGTAAATATTCTTGGTATATCCTTTAAAATATCTAAAACTTGATCACAAGGCTAATTTTAATTATAATCCTTTTATATGGAATAATTAATACACTGAAAAGAGAAATATCGCTAACATTTAAGGACTGTAACGAAGGATATTGTAGGTTCCATTAGAGTTGAGATTTGTGGAGGGCTCTTGAGCCAAAGCAGTTGTGTTTAAAAGTGATGTAACTGAACCGTTTTTCCAAGCCTACACAACACGATTTTTCTCTCTCACCCTCCAGTGTCAGCCAGTAATGGCTTCTCCCCCTCCCCACCCCCCACCTCCCTTATAGGATGACCGTTCAATTTTTATTTTCTCTCTCGAGTGGCCCTCAAGATTTTTCTGATTTACTTTATAGCTTCTATGCCGGCTTTTACTGGAATCGGTCGACCAATTCTATGAGCGACACTGCTTTCAGATGATATATCAAAGAATCATTGTTGATACCAATAGAAAAAAATAGTTAAAAAATATATTCTAAAAGATTAAATTTTGGCATATTTTACTATAAGTGGTCCGCAATCAAACATGTACCCTACAGCAATCCTTGTAAATCAATTGGTTCCAGAAGAGAGATCAACTCGCATATCATTCCAAAAATGGTTTGCGCCTGTCTAATTTTTGTTGACAATCAGCAAATGTCGTGGCGATACAGGAAATAATGACATGACAGGCATGGTGAAGAAAATTACTCAGCAGTACCTCTTCCCTAACTTGTTTTAATTTCTTAGATTGTTTAGGGAAGGAGATCTCTCATCCAACGCCTTTTCAGTCTCCTCCTTATGTTCTGGGGTATGTCAGCTGCGGCCATGTCTCTTATTAGTCTGTTATGATGTCCATTTAAATTTGTGTAAAACCGTTGATAAATGGTCGTTATATGTTTGTCAACTGTTGGAAGGTGGAGGTCAGTATGTAGAGATTTATGAGTCGCGATAATTTTGATTAATTTGTAAATAGCAATGTCACCATAAGATTGAAGATGGATACATAATCAATCGGGTGTTTTTTTATTATATTCCCGCCAGTTACTTATAGTAGTGAATTTAAAATAAAGCTCAATTTACTCATGTTATTAAAGTAAATAATACAATTTATAGTAAATAAAACATGAATATCAATATAAGAAGAACGGATTAACTATCACTATAGGATGGTTAAAGTATTTCTTTACCAGTTACTGGTCAAGTAGAATATTGGTGGTAACAGTGAAAACGCGTAAATGTCACATCCAAACTATTCAGGAAAGACAAAAACAAAACAAAATAAAAACATTTTTAAAAAATTGTCATCAAATTGATATTTTTTACTTTTTCATAACTATATTTAAGGGAAAGCAATCTAAACGTGAAAAAAATGTAATCAGATTTTTCGACGAAAAGTAATATTGGGACCTAAAATTACCTACCACTGCCGTTATTCCATCGTATAGAATAATTCATTATCAGTTATAGCATAAGTACAGGCTTTCCATTCTAGTTGCGGGGAGGGCGATGTACCTCCCCCCCCCCAAAAAAAAATTTTTAATTATCTATAAAAATTATGAGTGATAATTAACATAGTAAACATAATTATTGTAAAACGAATGATATAATACTAAATATAGAAATAAATTTATATATTGATTTTTTTTTTGCATATCGGTATATTTGAAAATATTTAAGCAAAGTAATTGAATATATTACATGTTTATTTCCAAAGATTTGAGGCAGTGAGATGAAGTCTGAATATCTTGATGCTTCAAATTTGCAGCGGAAAAGGAAGGACGCTTATGAATCAGTCTTAAAAACCTAGGAATTACTAGATACAATTATCTTGAAATATAAACTAAAATTTCAATTATAGGAACATGGTGCGTGATAAAATACTGGCGTACCTACTAGGCTTTAGCTTAGCTATCTAGTTGACTTTTCCTATTTTCTAAATTGATTTTAGTTTACATATTATATTCATTCGTGTAGATTAATTTTATTATGGGAGCGGGGTAGCTCAGTGGTATGGCAATAAGCTTCCAATGTTGAGGGTCCCAGGTTTGAACCCCGGCTCATGGCAGAAAAATTATTTATTCTGTTTTATTGGCGGTGGGCAACCATGGAGTAGGGAGAACCTTCTGGGGCACACCCAGCCTCTACAAAGTGGGTAACCTTCCTTAATTAAATAATTAATTCAGGGGAAACCTGATGGTTGAGCGTGATCCTGCCCCGATTAACTCCTTGCAACCGTTGGCGAATAACCGTTTATTTAGCGAATAACCGTTTATTGAGCGAATAACCGTTGACCTTGAAACAGCACTTCCCTAAATAGTACTGAACCCAAGACCCTACATGGGTTGTAGAGGTACAGTTTTTTTTTTTTTTTTTTCATGTAGATTAATTTGTTGATTTTTATTTTATTTTTCTAGGGCTAAAAATTTTTTTAGCCCCCTCTCTATTATCATTGTGGGAGGGCGAACGATAGCTCCCATCGCCTATGAGTAATACAATAGTATTCATTGTAATTTGTAATTAATTGTAATAATTAATTGTAATAATTATAATAATTAATTACTTTCTGCTTAACTCCAAAATTTGTATTTATAATAGTAAGACTAAATTATAAATAGTAATTAATTGAACATTTTCTACTTTATAATGATCTAATAAAAAATATTTATTTATACTGTAATTTTATTTTAAAATAATGTATTTTTGTATTAAGAAGAGAAAAATGTAAGAACGTGAATGATACTTTCTTTGAGAACAAGGAAAATAATTCTTAAGACGAAGTACAGAGTGAAAATGCGTTATATTATGTATTCTTTCTATTGAAAATAAAACATAAAATGTATAAAAGTAGTAAAGGTTTACGTCAGATCCTCAAACACTTTCAGCTAAAATTCAAAATGGAAAAAACTTTTATAGTTCCACTGAGGTA